TATAGTTTTTTTTATTCCATATCCTTTGTAAGGTCTCAAATAAAAACCCTTCCCCATTTTTGTAGCTTGCTCCACAGCCAAATTATGTCTTTGCTGTTCAGCAAGTTGTTCACGATTTGCTTTGGCATCATTCACTGCTTTCGCAATGCCCGCTGCACCTCCCCCTACAGCTCCTAAAGCTCCTAGTAATGGTAATAGAAAAGGTAAAAATCCACCCTTTTTTGGTGTTAGAATAATACGTTTTTTTTTTCTTAAAGTTCCACCTTTTTTTGTTTTTTTTTTATTTTGTTTAATACCCATTCCAACTTTTCGTTTTCCCTTCATGGCTGTTGTTACAAACCAAGCTGCAGCTTTTTCTCCAAATTTAGCGTCTTTTGATTTAACCCTATTCCAGGCTTTGTTCTCCAATATTTTATCAGCTTTATGTCTTTCGTTTATATTTTTATTTTGTGAGTATGCAATATCGTGTTCTTTACAAGCTTGATCTAATGGATTAATTCCTTCATCACCTCGTTCTAAGCGTTGTTGTAATTTTGTTCCAGGTCCACAATAAGAATATCCAGGAATATGCAATTCAACGGGAAGTTTATTAATCAGAGTGTTTATCAAACCCTTGCCACGTTTACTCTGAGTTTTCATATTGATATGATCCTTTATATATGTTTGGGCATGCATATATACTCTCAGTTAACATGAAGATTCAAAAACAGAAACATACCTTACCTATAAAAAATTATGATATCGAAGTTAAACCTACTATTGGTAAACATGGTATATTGTTTGGAGGTGACACCAAACGCAGTTTAATTATAGGTCCTAGTGGATGTGGTAAAACTAATGTTATGTTGTCTCTGTTAGAACATCCCAATGGATTAAGATTTGAGAATATTTATCTTTATTCGAAATCACTACATCAACCTAAGTATGAATATTTAAGAGAATTATTGCAACCTTTATCAGAAATTGGTTATCAAGAATATAGTGATAGTGAAGAAATACCTTCTCCAGAAAACATTAAAAATAATTCAATAATTATATTCGATGATGTGGCATCATGCGATCAAAATATTATAAAAAGCTACTTTTCTTTCGGACGTCATAAAAATACAGATTGTTTTTATTTATGTCAAACATATTCAGCAATACCCAAACAATTGATTCGAGATAACGCCAACCTAATAATTATATTTTCTCAAGACTGTACTAACCTGAAACATATTTATGATGATCATGCAAATATTGATATGGAATATCAACAATTTAAAAATATAGCTTCTTCTTGTTGGAAAAATAAGTATGATTTTTTTGTTATAGATAAAGATTGTGAAATATCTTCTGGTAGATATAGAAAAGGGTTTGATTCTTATATAAAGCTTTAAAAATTGAAAACTATATTAGTCAGAATGAGTGATCTAATACGAAAACAGCTAATTCAATCACGGAAAGTATTAAAGGATAAATATAATTTACTAAAACAAGAAAAAGCATTTTCTCAAAAACAATTTAAGGAACAACTACAACCACTCATTGAACCTATTCAAAAATTTATTTCATCAGCTCCATTGAAAACAGAAATAAAGCATGAACCTAAAACGCCTAGTAACATATCACAATATTATAAGTTTATGCCAAATCTTACTGGTTCAATCATTCAACCAGAATTTGGTGAAACATTTATTGATGATAATCCTGAAGAAGTGACTCCGGAAGTACCACAAGAAGTATTTGATAGTTATTTAAATAAATATAATCCTTTACCAAGAGGTTACATTGAAGATTTATTAAATGATAATGAAGGAAATTTTGATCATACATTTGGTGTATACTTTGATCCAGAGTCTAAAGAATGGTCTTTCGGAGATTCTGTAATTAATTTTGATGGTCGGGATATTATAATTCAAGATTTAAAATATAAAGGTACTCCCGGTCTCTATGAGTTACTTTTTAAGAAGTTTCCTACTGGCTATAGATCGGAGGATGTTGATAATTTTATAGATATCGTTAAACGAACAAATGCTCAGTATTTAGGTTATAACCCTGAAAAAGGTTTATCTACTTCAAATGCTAAAAAATTTATTGATATAATTAAACCTCGGGTTACAAACTTATATTCAATGAGTCAAGATTTACAAAGAAGTAGATCCAATTCACTCCCACAAAGTTCTCTTCCTCGTTTACAAACTAAATCTCCAAAAATATCTAAACTTTTAGATCCTAAAAAATCTACCTCACGTACATTGCGCAGTCAAAATGTTAAGAAAAGTGGTGGTGGAATTTTAATGAATTTTAACACCAAGAAAATTGATTATAAATATTTTGATAATTATAATGAATTAATTGATAGGTTACGGTTACTAATTGCTTCTCAATCAGCAGGAAATACAGGTCATAATAATGAAATTGTTTCAATTGTAGAAGAATTACGAGAAGGTGGAATAATATCATAAATACAATGATAAAGAAATTTATTTCACAGTTTACATCATGCCTCTCAACAAGTTTAATCAACATTTTCTTACTTCAAATCCTTCTTGTTCTGAAGAAGTGGTTGGAGCACCTTCTCAATCTGTACCATTTTACATTTGTCAACCTACTGAATATTATAGTACATGTATAATTTATATTCGAGGCTCTTTTATTGGCAAGAAGAATAATATACATTATATCTTAGAAAATGGTACAAGTACTTATGAAATACCAGTAACTGGTAAAGTAGTACGTGTTCAATGCGATCCAAATATTCTTTACGTTAACTATAAAAATCAATCAACGAAAATTGAAGATTTAATAAATGGAAATATTTTAAATAAAGGTGATATTATGGAATTTAAATTCAATCACAATCAACCTAGCCTATCCTTATATTTGGAGATGGTTTTGCAATGTCCTTTAGAACACTGATTCTTATAAATGACTCTGCAACCAAAAAATTTTATCATTTGAAGTCATGCCTCTTAATAAATTCAATCAACATTATCTTATATCCTCTTCCTCCTGTTCTGATGAAATAGTGTCATCACCTTCTCCACTTTTAAATGCACCATTTTATATTTGTGATTCTTTTGATTATCATGTTAAATGTTTAATTCGAATAAGAGGTGAAAAGAAAACAAGTTTAAATAAAAGTTTTTATGTATTAGATAATGGTGGCACTGGTTTTAAGTTTCCTTTATCAGCTAAAATCGAAAGTGTTTCTCATTACAAAGCCGATGGAGATGTTTTAATAAATAACAAATCATTTAAATTTCATGAATTACATAATACAAACATTAATAAAGGTGATGTATTGACATTTAAGCTTGGTACACCATCAAATATTTGTATTGAATTGCTTATACAGTGTCCTTTAGTAAAAAATGTCTAAATCAAAACACATAATTATTGGGTAACCGTTAGACATATGACAAGAAAAAATGGAAATAATATGATATTGAAATATATATCAATAGACCTGCTGATTATAAAATATTTTGATCGTAACACTCAGTGGTTAAGTGAAGATAATGAAGAATATACAATATAAAATTGTAATAAGTTATTTGTAACAATTTAGTATTAAAAATAAAAACCTAACACATTAATGTTTTTTTATTAGTTCAGAGGTACCAATCGAGTCTATTAGACATTAATCATATGATATAATTAATTTAAAAAACATAAATATCATCCTAATACTGAAATTAAAATTTAAACTAGGAACTCTTGATAATATGTTTATAGACTTGTAGTGCTCAACAATGTAAAATGTCTAAAACTCAAATAGTTGAGGAGCTTCATAAACCAGCTAGAATAAATTTCCGAAGACGACGTGTTATTGTTAAAGGTTTAAATGACTTGATACAGGCTGATTTAGCTATAATGTCACAATTTTCAAAAGAAAATAATAATTATAATTATATTTTGGTAGTTATTAATGCATTTAGTAAATTTGTTTGGGCCATACCTCTAAAAACAAAAACAGGAAAAGAAATTGTAACAGCAATGAAAACAATCTTATCACAAATGCCTCATCCTAAACATTTGCAAACTGATAATGGAACTGAATTCTATAACAAAGACTTAAACAATCTTTTAAAAAAATACAATATTAAGCATTATAGTACATATTCAAATTTGAAAGCAAGTATTGCTGAAAGAGTGATAAGAACTTTAAAGTCATTATTATGGAAACAATTTAGTTTACAAGGTTCTTATAATTGGTTAAAAATTCTTCCTAAAATTATAAATAAATATAATAATACTAAACATTCTGTTACTGGAGCAATACCCAGTAAAATTAATGCCAGAAATGCAAAAGATATTACTGCATTCAACTATTTAAAAACAGTTGATAAAAGGAAACAGAAATTTAAAGTTGGAGATTATGTGAGAATTTCTAAATATCGACATGTCTTCAAAAAAGGATATACACCCAACTGGACCAATGAAATTTTTAAAATAAAAAAGGTTCAAATTACAAATCCTACTACATATATTCTGGAAGATAGCAAAAAAGAAGAAATTCAAGGCGGTTTTTATACTGAAGAATTACAAAAAGCTAAATATCCTGATATATTTTTGGTGGAAAAGGTTTTACAAAGAAAAGGGAATAAGTTCTTGGTAAAGTGGCTAGGAATGGATAGCTCTCATAATTCATGGATTAATAAAACTGCTGTTTTGTAATGTATAATGTAAATATGTTTTCTTATATGTATTAATAAAACAATAAATAAATTGATTGATTTTTTATTTTTTATATATTTAAAACTAATACAATATACTTTATTTAAAAAAATAAAAACATTTTTATAAACCTAAGTTTAATTTTTTATAAACCTTATTTCGATGTTCTACATTTAATACAGGATTCAGATACATTGCTGAAGATTCAACTCGTTTTTTAAATCTGATTCGATCAAGAGCTTCCTGTTCCCATAAACTTTGTCTTGCAGATTGGTATGCAAACAACCAGGTGCATAAAATATATTTTTGATTTTGGTTTTCATTAAAGGTAACTTTCTTCATTTTTTGTTTTCAAGAAATTCTGGATACATATAAATTATTTCTACACCTAGAGCATATGTTATTGGATTTACTGTTTTTATTGGTTCAATTATCTTCAGAGCTGTATTAGTTACATCACTAGAATGTTGAACACCTAATTCAATAACTTTTAAAGCACTATCAAATTGTTGACGCTTGTATGTATACAATATGTGATTTATTAAAGGTAGCATTTTCCAAAGTTGTGAAATGGAATTAAAATCTAACCAAACGGTTGAATGTTTATTTAATATTTTTATAACTTTTTCCAAAGATTCAAATTCTAAACAAAAATGTTGTAGGACGATGGCTTCTTGCTCTTCATCCAAATTCATAAACTTATTAATTATTTCCTTTTGTGATAAAAAACTATTCCAATCATTTTCATTAAAATTAATATAGTTTTTAATATTTTCACTTATTCTCACACATGGAATAAAATTATTAGAATTATAAAATAAGCTTACTATCACATATTTTGTTTTTGTATTATTCAAATAAAATATTCTTTCACCTATATGAACATGTTTGTCTTCTGTAGAACTACTACTCATTGTAATGTCTAATTACTTGTGATAATTAATATAATTACCTTCAAATTCTTTTAAATGTTTTTTGGACGGATGTAATTAATAAAACAATTTTGTTGTTCATAAATTTTATTATTCTTACAAACTATGATATACAGATTATTTCATATTATATAAGTTCTAATTTTTATATTAAAATGTCAGATTTTAGGCTATAATGACCCCAAGGAAGAGTGTCAATAGAATTCCTAATTCTATATCTTTTATCATCAAATGAACTTAGTGCAATTTTTGATTGATTGACGCTAAAAACATTATGTGCATATGAACGAATTATACACTGTGAAACAGTTTTCTCATTTTCTTGATTTAAACATTCTACATAATCTTCAAATGTAATTTTGTTTTTGATAATACAATGTTTGATTCCTTTTGCTTTTTTTGTTATTTTTTTATTATCAAGTTTATATGAATACATTTTAGATCTTAAACCAACAAAATGAGTTACAATATTTCCGTTTGCTTCATCTTTCATTAAACCTGGAACTTTTTTATTGCAACGAGGTATATTATAGATATTATTTGGAGCATAGTCACTAGTATCAAACATATTAATATTATTTTTAATAATTTCTTCATATAAATCATTACATTTAATTTCATAAATGAAACTATCTGTGTCAGTATACATAATTTTACAGTTATCACCCAATTTAGGCAACATGAAGTCATAATGAAATTCATACATGCAAGTCTTTGAAATATCTAAAATAGCCATGCCAATGTATAAAGGTTTATTAAATTTTATTTCTGATTTTCGTAACTCTATAGCCATTAAATCATCATCAAAGATAGTTCGACTGTGGAATCTAGGACTTGATATCAAATTTTTTGCACCATATCTTCCCTCCCATTGTCTAACTAGTTTTACTACACGGTGCTTTCTAATATTTTCCATAGTTTTGCCATAAATAGAATTAACTTTGAGTTTAAAATGATCTTGTTCAAATTTAGTTTTTGCCTGTGCACGAAAACGTGTATTTAGATCAACGTACGGTTTTAACCATGCAAATTGTTTAAATTGTAAAACTTTATGAATTTTTTTAATAATTAATCCATGAGCTACAGCTTGTTTCAGAGCTCGATAATGAATAATATAATTTTTTTTATAATAAAATGTTGTTAAAAGTTTAGGTAATTTTGAATTTTGTGGTATTCTATGTTCTGCACAAAAAGGTAAATCTTTGTGACTATCATGTAGTACTTCTGGGTATTCTAAATCAACTTCTAAAATATATCCAAAAGGAGCATCATCAGGGATGCAGGTAACATCAATGTTAGTATCAACCCATTGAAATTTACCAAAAGGAAGTGGTTGTGACATAGCCCATCCATATAAATTATTAACATCTACATAAAATAAATATGAATCTGGCTTTGATTTATCATAATTTGACAAATATTTATTATTAGCTTCTGAATATCGTGAAGAACATTGACTTATACCTCCTCGAATACCATTTTCAACAAATAGAATCATATCATTATCATGTAGAATTTCTAATTCACATTTTGTATATTTTAACATACAATCCCATGAATAACCAGGTACGGTATAATACCATGCAGGATCTAAACCGCTCGTATTAAATCCAATATTTCGAAAGTTTTCAAAAATATCAGCTAACAAAAGAACATCTGTTTTCAAATACAAATCAGAATATTCCCCCAAATTCTGAATATTAAACGTTCCCCAAATTGTTTTTGCATGTTCATATTTTTCATTACTAATTTCTTCATCATTGAGTTTATTATAAAAATAATTCTTTGAAGGTAATTGCTTTTCATCAAGTTTATTCCAGGTATCTATATAATCATAACAAAAAACACCTTTCTTTGTAAGCAACTGAAACTTATCTGGATTTAAATAATTGAACTCATTATGTAAATTAACTAAATCTTTTGTATTTAATGTTGATGCTAATTGATCAAGAGAAGCACTCATAAATCTAATTGAATCTATAAAACGAAGTTTTATGCTACATGGAGTATGCAAAGTAAATGAAATATATTTTTCTTTGTTTATTGGTAACAAAGTAATTTTTCCCAATTTAGCAAGATCACGAATTATAAAATGACTATCATAGCCACTTAAATTATGAAACACAACTGGTACAACAAATTGTTTTCTAAAATTTAAATTACATGCTTCATGAGCAAATCCACGAAAATCTCCAGTAAAATGATTATGGTCACGAACGACAATATCTTTTAGTGTAAAATTATTTTCACAAATATGACAAAACTTTATATTTACTCTGTCAGGAAGTTGTTTCATCGGAACTATATTTTTAAATTTTGATAGAATTGTTTCAGCAATATTATTCATTTCCTTTGCAAACCACTCCATACAATCAACACCTCGATAACTTTTAAAATATGATAAACTATTATCATAATCACATTTAAAATAATATCCGCAACTAAAAGCAGTATGTTTTTGATATTTAGTTGATTTAATATTTATTTTATCATTAATTGGCAATAACATTGATTCAAAATCAGCATAAATCATGAAAGGTGCTTTTTGTTTATTTATAAAGTTTTTAAATTTAACTACTTTTTCTTTTGGAAACGTAATTTTATAATCATTAAGTTTTTGACATAGAATTGAATGATCTTTAAGTTTATTTTCATCAAAAAAGTAATTTAAACATCTATCGCAAATAAATTTTTTATGACCATCTTTATTTAATTGATAATTTAATAATCTAGATAAATTTTTTATCCAACAATAGTGATATCGTATATTAATTTGTTCATTATCATTTGGATCGGGTGCATCATAATCATTTAGTTTTGGAAAATAAGTATTTTGAATCAAAAGTAAATTTATATGTTTTTCTAATTTGTTTTTTGTAAGTCTTAATGGAACCACATTATAATTTTTTCCTACTAATTCTAATCCATAAACATTTACAGATAATTGATTTAATTTTTCAAAGAGTGAAATTTTATTAAATTGTATTGGAATATCTAAACCTTGTAAATTTAAAACTTGAGTATAATGCGGATATGAAGATAAACGATCACTGTGATAATTTGTTGGATACAACGCACTAACAATGCTCCAATAAAAACATGCCTCATCATAATTATATATATTTATACATGCTGTTTTATTTGCAATTTGTTCAGGTAATCTAATGAAAGATGAACCGTTTCCGATTTCATATTTATTGATATTTATTTCCAGTGATATAATTCTACTTAGTGCCCATGATGAATCACGTTCTTGAAATTCAGATAATTTATTTAAAATAATATCCTTTATGTGTTCTTCAAACCAGTTTTTTAGGTCTGTTGATGAATCAATAGAAGAACTTTTAGTATGAAAATATTTAAAATCTGTTATTTCCTCATCATCACTATTTTTCTTTACGAATTCCCCACAGAAAGTTGAATTAACTTTAATCATATTTAAATTAAATAAGCGTATTTTATTTTGAAATAGTTGACTTGCGTCATTTAAAAATTGCAAGATATCTTTGTGTTTTAAATTTATTATTATTCCAGTTTTAATTCTATTTTGAAATATTGATTCAACATCTTCCCACCTAACTCTATTATTAGATAATTGGTTACTGAAACCTGCTCCACTTGTAGTTAATCTACTATAAATAACTTTTAAATGGCTTAATTTTGTTTGCCACATTCTAGCATTACCTACAGAAAAAGTATTTGTTCTAATGGCTTCACAACATAAATTAATAGCAATTTTTACATGTTTATTCCACAACTCTTTTTCTTGCAGAGTAAAATTTGGATATTTTTGATAAAACTTTTTAATTAATATATTAGTATCATTATGTAGTTTTTCTGACATTTTAATTAAAATTTAGAACTTACCTTAACAATTTATAATTTTAAATAAAGCTGCAGGATTTCCTTTGCCAGTATCTTTTTCTCCAGTAAAAATTATAGAACATTTGCCGTTTCCTAGTTCAGTAATATGCTGTTTTAAAACTTGGATTGACCTTTGAGGTAAAAATACAGTTTTATCTCCTTCTATCACCAATCGAATTGTATCTCCAAACTTTGTAGAAACTATTTCCGCTGAATTAATTTTGTAAGCAACGTCCTTGGTTAATTCTTTTAATTTTATTATAGGTTGAGGTTCTCCTTCTATAAGAAGATATTGATTTATTTTCGACATATTCATTTTTTCTAAAAATAATTACATTTAAAATATATATTATTAAAAATACAAAAGTTGTTACCTTATTTTTATTTAAATAATCTGAAGAACTTCGGTAAAACTATGTATAAATATATGTATAATATTTTCGAGACTTGTTTATAAACTGAATATACCACAGCAATCTGTTCACTATTTATATGTTTAAATCGCCCACACAAAAAACAATATTCATATCAACATTTAGATATACCTTGACCTTGTCATTGACCTTGACCTTGACCTTGAGATTTCTTAAAATAGATTTCTTAAAATAGATTTCTTAAAATAGATTTCTTAAAATAGATTTCTTAAAATAGATTTCTTAAAATAGATTTCTTAAAATAGATTTCTTAAAATAGATTTCTTAAAATAGATTTCTTAAAATAGATTTCTTAAAATAGATTTCTTAAAATAGATTTCTTAAAATAGATTTCTTAAAATAGATTTCTTAAAATAGATTTCTTAAAATAGATTTCTTAAAATAGATTTCTTAAAATAGATTTCTTAAAATAGATTTCTTAAAATAGATTTCTTAAAATAGATTTCTTAAAATAGATTTCTTAAAATAGATTTCTTAAAATAGATTTCTTAAAATAGATTTCTTAAAATAGATTTCTTAAAATAGATTTCTTAAAATAGATTTCTTAAAATAGATTTCTTAAAATAGATTTCTTAAAATAGATTTCTTAAAATAGATTTCTTAAAATAGATTTCTTAAAATAGATTTCTTAAAATAGATTTCTTAAAATAGATTTCTTAAAATAGATTTCTTAAAACAAGGCCTTGACCTTGACCTTGGCCTTGACCTTGACACGTGGGATCCTTATCTCTCTTATCTTCCTTATCTCTCACTTCCGGTGGGGAAATGGTATAGTTTATCTACTGACGCTGTAACTGAAATGCCCATATTCGTGATTCATATTTGTTGGCTAGAATTCCGACATTTTTCACGAAAAATATAATACGATTTGAAAAATCGTTTTTTTAATATTTTTTATTTAAACAACAAGTACAATATTTTTATGACTTTATTAATTGCAATCTAACATCAGACTGAAACTAAAATAAAAAAATGTTAAACCCTTGTTCAGAGATAACAAGTAACTTGAACTGCCGGCTGGTGGAATTCTCGGAACTTCTCGACTGGTCAGAGGTTTCTATTATGTAATTCCTCCCTTCCCAGAGAGATCCATACAGGGTGTGGATCGTTATTCTTCTTCTTCGGTATCCATATTGAAAACTGCTTGTTGGGTAGTAGATGTAGTGATTTTTTTATTTCCAGACTTTAATTGCCTAAACTTGAGAAATAAGATTATAAGGGCTACAGCACTCAATGCACACAGTGGCGTATACCACAGGTTGGTATTGTTTGAAGGGATTTGGAGACTTATTTGACGAATTCGATTTTGTTCCTTATGCAATTGGTGGATCTTGTCGAGGGGTACGTCATTAATATCAATTTTTTTAAAATGATTTTGGTTGACTTTCTTTATTTTGATTTCTGGTAGAAGTAAGGGCTGTCCGTGAATAACGTCGATGTTATTTGAATATATATTCTTTGGGGTTTGGAAACTGCAACCCTTCGGTATCTCCATTACATGACCTTTTAAAACTGTGAAATTGGATTGGAGTAAATTTACATGCAGGGGAATCTTGATTCTTCAATTGTAGTATTTGGTGGATACAATCATCTGTATTAGATTTGACAATGGGCTTCATGTTTGTGCAAAAATATAATGAGTTGAAATTTTTGCATTCTTCATCCTCGTACTCATAGTTAATTCCTTGTATTGCCAGAAAAGATTTGGAGGGGATAAGGATTGAGTTATTTTGGGTAGGTATTGAATAGAGGTAAAAGTAAGAATACTATCCGATTATTAGAATAATAAGAGAGTCTACTGTAATAACTTCATATTATTTATGAAAATTTTGTGGATTGACACCGAACAATAAGTTGCTTTTTGAATATGACTTTAATAACAAGTTTATGATAAATTCCTCTATTTTCAAAATGCTAAAGTGAACGGTTTTTGGTCTCGCAAACATTATTAAATTTTCCGAATTATTAAGGATTTCGGTTTAAATTTTAAGAACTGCATGTACCTGGTCTAAAGCGTTTGTTGCTAAAAAATATCAGGAAAAGTCGTTTACGAATTTTTCTAGTTCATGATTTAGGTCATTAATTTTTTGAGTCATTTGTATTTTGTTTTGCTTTATTAAGGAGAGTGTGTTATTATAATTATCGATTATTTTAGTAGTTAAAGATATCTGGTTATTCGGCGAATTTGCTATATCTTTTTGATTTGAATTTCGAAAGGCAATATCGTCGTCATATCTTTTACCGTCTTCGGCGTCTAGGTTTTCCGAAATACTTTTAAATATAGTACCTAGACCGTTTATTATTCCTCTTTTAAGTCGTTTATTAGAATGAAGGTAATTTAGTTTTTCTTTACATTGTTTTATTTCGAAGGAAATTGAATTTATGTTATTTTTAAATTCGGTTGTGAATACTGCATTTTTATTTTTAATTGTTAAAATTATATTTTCGAATTTATTATTTATTTTAATAAGCTAGCTTTCAATAGGGTCTAAATCAAAATAATGGATAAAAGAATGGTATGTGGATTGTAATTTAGCATATCCCAATTTATAGGGTAATATTCCAGGGTTGGATTCTAGACTTGTGATTCTAATTTCCTGGGCTACTTTAATTCCCGCCATGGTGAGGAGAAGGCTGTAATAATACATTTTTGTATTAGATAAAAGTCTTTTTAAATTATTTTTATAGAGTGTAGAAAGGATTATTTTAAATGATTTCGGATGTTTTTGTTTTTGATTTTATAAATTTTAACTTTGAGACGTTCATTCTTTTTAAAAGGGCGACAAACGAATCGGTGCCCAACCTTGTTACGTGCTTCAGATTTGTGACATTTAAGGGTACCGGATTCATACGTCAAAGGGTTGTTACCCTCTAAACGTCGGGTAATTAAATTTATGGGTCGCTGTTTTGTAGCTGACTGAATGATATTATTGCGATCTAAAATTGCGTACGGCATTTGATCTAGGATATTTAGATCTTTTTGGGATTCTTGTAAAATTTGAATATGTTGCTTTTCTTCGTCAATCATGTGATCTGTTTTAATTAGATAATCAATTTTATGTTTGTCGCTATTATCAATAGTGGGTTCAAGAGCAACGTTAAAGCTTTCAAAATATTCTTAACGGGGAAACTTTTAATTGGATATAATAGAGTAAAATTTTATTCTTCGCTCGAATTGTTATAAATATCAACAGTTGCCCAACCCTTAATCGAAATTGTTAATATACTCGGTATTACACAATTACCCATAGTTTGCTCCGTTACTAATATTTTTCCGGACAGGGATGTTTATTCGCGAAACAGAATTACCAGATAATAGTTGGGGTTTTGTTTCTATTGGCGTGGCATTAAAGTAATTAAATGGTAAAAAAATATTATTATTTAAAATTATTTGCGCGTTTGGCAAATCAATATGAATATTCAATGAGTTTAATAAATCTATTCCTAATAGACCATCAAATATGCAATGAAATTTATATACCAAAAATTTAATATCTTGTTTTGTTTGGAATTCTGGGAATGTCGGAATGGTTACTGAAACGTTATGTTTGGAGGAGTCCAAAGCTGTTGAAACAACGAATGGTTCCTCGATTTTAAATTTAAAAAAATATTTATCAACAATTTCTGGGGATAAAAATGATTTAGTTGCCCCGGTGTCTACTAAAAGTTTTACCAGTGGGTTATTTATTGCAATATAAGGCAATTGCTCTTTATCGAATGAATTATAAAATTCTATCATAGCTTCGGATTTGGGGGACTGTGTTCCTGAGACATTTGGTAAATTATCGCCGGAAGACGAGTCGACGATTTCGTATTCGCAACTTTTGCTGACAAAATCGTTTAAATTGTCTGACAAATCGCAATATTCAACATTAGTTAATTCTTTAGACGCATATCTATGATTTTGGGGTAATTGATTTCTGGAATTGCCAGAGATTTGACGGGAAGTCGTATTCATTGGAGTATGCCTAGGTGAATTATTTGCATTAAAATTAGGATTTAGTTCCCAAACGTTTTTTTGGGATTCAAAGACATGTCGGTTTGTAAAAAATCTTTGATTAGCCTAGATAAGTAAGGTTGAATATTTACAGGACCGGTAGGAAACGAACCTCTATAATTACAATTATTATTATTATTATTTCTGAAATGGCTAGTGCTGGGTTGATTAAAATTAGTTTTTTGATTATTATTAAAATTTGGATTTCTATTAACAAATTAATTGTTATTGTTTAAGCGATAATTTTGATTATTTTTATTAGGGCGATTCTGTCGATGCTGATTATTAGGGCTTTTTACTGACATTTGAGATTGATTTGAATGCGCATTTTGCAATATTTAATATTATCCTCCTTTCTTATAAAATTGATTTGAGCAGTGTTTTGGGTTCCTTAGTACGAACCATGATACCATAAGGGTTTCTTAAGCCAGCTAAAAATACTTGAAGAGCTTGTTCGTTATATGATTTTTGTTTGAATTTTCTTATATCTAAATTGTGTTTATGCAAACCGAGGTAATTTGAAATAGTATTTAATAATTTCCTGCCCTTTTCATGAAATTCATATGGGCTCTCGTTAGGAGCTTGCCTTAAATTATTTATATCTAAAGATAAGCAATTTTCATTTTAAAGATCACTAAAATTCATAATCACCTCTTCCTTAATTTCTTTAATTTTAGTAGCCCCACTAATATTAATTACTTCGCGAGCGAGTCCATGCAATTTACTTATATTTGTTCTAAATGTCATAACATTTTGATAGTTTCCAATATTTACGTTATCATAAAAATGGTTAACTATGCTTTCTAGAAAAAATTTCAACTCGTTTTCGTCGCCATAGAAATCAGGAATGGTCTCCGCGTGAACCTTTTGAAAGTTAGGTGGGGAGTCATTGTTTGATTTAAGATATGTTTCACTTTATTAAAATTATACAGATAATTATTGTTGTTAATATTAATTGAATTCAAACTTTTAATTACTAAAGCTGTAACCTTATGGAGAATAAAAATTTAATGTTAGATCAAAATGCTGTTAATTGAGAATTATATTTGCAAAGGCCATTTATATATTATCATTGTGCTAGAAAAATACTAGGTAGGTACTAAGACAATTTAAAAAAAGTATTTCGAGAAACTCAACTTTTAATGTAATCATTGTACTTAACTTTTTTATTGCTAAATTATTAATAATGTCATTTTGTGTAGTTCGTTGTAATTTGTATTATATATATTATAAAAACCTATCGTCAATGTTAATGTGCCAAGTTTTTTTAATAATTAACAATAATAATAATAATAATAATATTTATTAACCTTTGAAGCCATATCTACAAAATATGAATAAGGTAAGTCATACATAAATAAATAAAAAGAACAAAGTAACAATACAACACGGTGTAAAATATAAAAATCTATAAAAATCTCATATTATGTCCTTGTTATAGTAAAAACATATTTTAACACATTTTTACATTTTTAAAGTTTTCTGGATTTCTACTCTAAATTATCGTACAATTGAACTGACTAATTGTGTGTTTAAGTAAAGGTATATTTCCTTTTTGTTATAACAGTCTTTGTATATTGTTCTAACTTTTTAGATAATTAGAGAAAACAATAAGACTTCTTAATATATCCTATTTCACCAACAAAAATGTAGAATAATTAATCTCACATCAAACGAAAAAATTCATTTTAGGATATCCTAATAGGTTTTAACTTAAAAACTAAATAAAATTCATATTGCAACTGTGTTTAAATAAATGAATGTTTTTATACCTGACTATAGCACCAGACAAACATTTTTTTAGATCATAATGATCTGCATAACTCAAAATAGTCAAAATCCACATTATTTAAGTTGTTCTAGTATTGTTTTAGCATAACGATGTAAACTCCAATAATAAATATTCACATTTTTTTGGGACGTTTTTTAAGGAAATTAAAAAAACATGAATAATGTGATATTCTTATTTAGTTTTGTACTATATAATATAGTTCATTAGGTAGTGATTTAGTAGCAAATTATGTTCCATTTATAGAATAAAAAATCACTCATAATATCTAAATATTTATACCTATTTATATTTTGGACAGGAAGACTATTTTATGTTTTTGGCTCTGAATAGTTTTCTTAAGAATTTTAAAACCTTCCTTAGCTCTTTTGGGATATTCCATGCATATCTTAGAAGTTCATTTTGTTTAAACCTAAAACAAATTAAGTAACAAAAAAATGGCTATGCCTTTTTCCTTAAACATTCTTTTTAAAAGAAACTTAAGTTTCTCTACTTACTTGCTGTTTTAGTATTTTAGTAGCAGATGAATATAGTGTAGAAGTAGTGACAGGATTGAGTATTATACTTCTTTCGTCGAAGTAATTCAGGTGGTTACTTGTTGAATTCCTATATTTTGGAACCAGGTATTTCTTTCTCATATCAAGAAAAGGAAACCTAAAAAAAAATAACAATAAACTTTACAAAGATGTGATATTAAAATAATAATAAGTAATTAACCTTTACTATAATCATGAAGACGAACTTAGCTGGAGTTTACTTGCTCTTAATTTTAATTTTTCGATAAGAAAATAAGAAAGTTTAATTGCAAATTAAAGGTGATTGCCTAATGCACCGCCTCTGATAATTAGGTTGTGTCTGTACTTACTTATGATTTTATATTGAAGAAGCATTTTCAACAGGCCTTTTACACATAAAGCATGTTTTTACCATATTATTAGAGATAATAAATCTTAAATATACATTTACAACGTTATAAATAATAATATTTTCCGTAAAATACAAATAAGAAATTGACATATGTCAGAAAGTGTCAGAACTGGCGCTGTCCAACTTGGCAACGCTGATTAAATAAGCCAATTACAGAAGAGGTATTTTCCCCCTTGGGGGGAGTAGATGTTGCTAACAAAATTTAGCGCGGGGAAGGGGAGAAGACTCCCTCTAGTAGTAATTGGTAGGAGAGTCTAACCGTCCGAAGTGTCATTTGTCCCAATCAGCTGATATTTAGTAGCTATTAGCGAGGGTGCATTGGCACTTCACTAGACCAAATTCTTAAATAGTTTTAGACTGGTATAATAAAACGGCAAATGCATACTGGGACGTGTCTATTTAGCGGCCCAAATGAACAATATATTTCTAAAATAATGATTATTATAATAATAACCTTTTTAAATTAGTGACTCACCATCTATTCCTGACGTTTTATATTGTTGTTAATACATGGAAGTGTTGCTGATTTGGAAATATTGAATGGACATCGAGACAAAGAGCATCGGGACATTGATCGTCGGAATGTAGAGCGGTGGGGCGTAAAGATGACGTCGTAGAAGAGCGTCGTGACGTATAACCGTAGGGAAGTAGAGACGTATAGCGTCGAATGAATATAAGGTAGGAAATACTTAAGGAGTATGGGACGTGACTGCGTTCAGAGGATAGGGGGTATTGTAGAATAGATGTCGGTTAGAAAGAGCGTCGATTTGGAAAAGCACTGGTACTGAATAGTGAACTTGAATTATACAAGATTTGAAAGTAATGAATGACTGTAATTTGAAATTAACTGAACTGAGTTTGATTTCTTAATGAATTTTTCTTAATTAATCTCGAGTCCCTCTGGATCTGGTCTTTATACCCGATTTAATGACTTTTTGTGACATCAACTTCTCGTTACTCTGACGAGAACGAATTTGGATGGATAGAAAAGGGATGGTCGATTTATTACTTGCCTTGAAAATTTGTGTGTCGAAAACAACGTTCTTATTCAAAACTGACCTAAGTGCGTTAAGTGTTTCAATAATTAATACTACGTGACAAAATTTATATTTTATGTTGGTTTTGGGTTGGGTTCACAGACACGTGCAAGAAAATTGGAGATTTTTTCTTTAGTGAAGGATTTTGATTTTAATAAAAATGCAATATTTTCTTTAATAAAATGGAATAAATAAATAAATAAATAAATAAATAAATAAAAGTTTCTGGATGAGGTAGATTACAATTTGAAACATGAATATTTCAAAGTGTCTATCTTTATTTATCAAAAATGGCAAAACAATCCAAGAATGTCAGTGTTAATTCCACTCGAGTCCACAAGGCGGCAGGCTGGCTTCCTCGAGTGTATGTATCGGAGTACACAGTTCATAATAAATGAATGTGCATGTGTTGACGAGATAAATACACTAAAGCTGAAATAATTGCGTGCTCTGTTATGGCGAAGAGGTGGGTATAGAGCAGTGGAACGTACAGCTCGGTAGGGAAACCAGCAGCGCCAGACGAGGGCTTCGAAGTCATTAACAATAATGTTTATCGTTTGAGAATAATGCTTCATCATCGTGTACTAAAACAACACTTGTTAAACAATTAAGTGAAGAAAAACAGTGTTGCGCCCTTTGGATGCGTGTTCAGGGCCGGTTAAGGAAGGTTTTTTGTTGTTAAAGATTTTATTTATTAATTTACTAACGTTTAGTTAGTTTACTTAGTTCACAAAATGACAACTTCGCCCAAGTCATAATTGTGGTTGGATAGGTTTAAAGACATTTTAAAAAAAAAAATTACGAATTAAAACAATTTTGCAAACGAATGCGCCAGTATGCTCTGGTCTATATTGGTATAGTTTTATATTTATGTATATTAAACTATAAATGTTAATATTTTCTCTATTGTTACATCTCTCTTATAAATTGTAAATGTTAATGTGTACTATATTAATATATGCTTATATTTATTCTATTATGACACTATGTAGGCCTGTTATGAACTCCAAGCTAATTCTTAACTGTGAGATGCTACTTACCTGATGAAGACAACTTACTCAATAATGACACCCAATAATGACAACCTACCCAATAAAGATACCTTACCCAATAATGACAATTTACCACCCAACAATGACACATTCAAAATTACTCATTCATTTAAGAGGAAAATTTACATTACAAACTAAAAGACCTGCGGGGGGGCAACGGTAGTTTAGTAAATATAAAAATTACAACTTAAGGGTGGAGCCTAAATACTACAAAATTACTTTCGAGACTAAACAATATCCGCATTCATTCATAATTTTAACAATTGCATGTAGATACGAGGGATACGTATTCCAAACTCGAACGCGAAGTTGGAATATATAGGAACCGAAAAATCAACACGGCTACCGACCTTCATCATTTCTTGAGTGAGTCAGAGTTACCTAAATTAGGGGAACCAGAATCGTATTTGTTTTTCTCCGTGCATTGCGAGATATTGTTATAAGGCAGTTCGATTTTTTAGAGGGTTTTACATTATTTTTATATTTTAATTTAGTGAATAGACTTAGATTAAATTACATTTAGGAGTAAAGAGGTGTGAAATATAAATACAAATAACGGAAAAATAGACGATTGGTTCGAATAAGGTAATAGGATCAATTAATACAGGGTATTTATTAATTGAGTGCCGATACTTAAGGATGTGAATCCTTGGGTGTTAAAGTTTTAAGAAAAAAATAACTATTTTATCATAAGTTTCTTATCACTCTAGATATTTTTATGAAATTTTGCCCCAAAAAAAAGTGTTTCCACTCATGGTGGGTTCCTACCAAATTTCAACAAAATATCAAAAGCAGTTTCAATAAACTGGTTTTTATTTTCTTACGCAAAAAGGGTGCGTCGTACGAAAGTACGTCTGTAAACCAAATTTGCTCCAAAATAAATAAGGATTTTAAAGATAATTTTGGTTTTTGGAAAAAGCAGTGGCGTATTATATTTTTGTTCAAAAATATTCAGTTCAAACCTGGTACGGACGTCACTGGTAAAAATTTAGAAGTCTTTTACGACAAAAAGGCGGGATTGAAAGTGAAAGTTTAGTCTGTTGGTACATAATATACTATATTTATATATCTAATTTTTAATATTACACTGAATGTGACATGGCTTTTTTGTTTGCCTTTTTTGGATTAACAAAATATTATTTTAATGATTTAAAGTAAACTGCCAGTAATAATAATTATCTGTACTTAAACATATACAAAGTGAAATCATAAAACGACACATCAAGAAAGCACCAAATTATTAAAATTTTAATTTACGTAACAAGTAATAAAAGTAATTTTAAAAAACCGACTTTAAAATCGTGCAGATGCCATCACCACATCTTAACCAAATTTATATGGGACCACCCCTGAGGTACTCCCTTACTAACGAAAAGAATTATAGAAATCGGACAAGGTGGTAAAGAATTATCGCTGAACATACATAAAAAATAAAAAGTTTGAGGATTTTCTCATGGACCCAATTATTAGATTTTGACCAAATTTATATGAGACCATCCCGGAAGTACCCCCCTTTC